CTCCATGCCTAAGAGTGTTGTTGAAAATACCCCTGATCTTTGTGGAGAGCAATGAAGGAGGCTGATATCTGCATGATACAAGCAAAGTGGTGGAGCAGAAGCCTAATAGAGAAAACCAGGGACAGAGAAACACAGAAGAACTCCCCGTCGATCACAGCCAACTCTGGGGGTCATGCTGCCTCCCCGGGAGCAGTCAGAGCAGCATGAGGACGGAGGAATCACTGTGGGCTCAGACAGGAGCCATTCTGGAGTGGTGAGGGGAGAAAGCAGACCAGAATGGGCACAACAGTGAAGGGAGAGTCTGAATGGGAAGAGAAGACGCGGAGACAGACCACCCATCTGAACTAAATGCCCCAGAGGAAGGCAATGCTTGTCTACACAGGTCTGGTCTGCCCAACAGCTGAGTCAGAACTGTGTCCAGCCATCCGCTGCTCTGAATACAGGACAGCAAGCCCTCTGCAATGGCCCAGCTGTTGATCAGCAATGGCATTTGTTGGGACCACAGAGACCCAGTTCCTCTTCCCCTTGCTAAGAAACAGAGCCATTCACTGGGGCCCTATTTAAAGATATTACATTGATAAATTAAATGGAATAATATATCCAGCTTGCCTAGCGCATAGGAAGGCTACTTTCCTCCACTTCAATTATAAAAACACAATGGAACAATGGAGAACACACATTGCTCTAAAGAATTGTTTTTCCCTCTGAATTCTAAAATTGCAATAATTGTAATACTGAAACTATTATTGCTATTGTTGATCCTAAATCACTCTCTTGGCATTGGCCGGAATTCCATTTGAAGTGAGTCTTTCCTTGGCCCCTACCAAATAGGCTTAGTGATGCAGCCTGGTCTAGAAGGTGTTCTCGCAGCAATAATGGTAATTACCACCCGTAGTGAGATGTTCCTGCATGTCAGTTAGGTGCTGTGCTTGACATACATTAACCCCATTTTTCCAGAAACTCTGTGAGAAAGGTAATCGGCAGCCCAGCTTAATGGATGAAGAAACTGAAGCTTAGGAGAGTCTTGGCCAAGACTATTTTATTCATGATGAAATTCATAAATAAAAGGTTTTATTTGATGCCTGTCATGTCATTGGTGAAGCATAGCTAACCTTTGATTAGAATCTTCTGAAGAATTTTAAAGTTCTTTGAAACTGTTTCCTAAGCTTCGGTCACTGTGATCAAACACAAGAGGCATACAGTTGAAAATGGCAAGTGGAAATTCATGCCTATCTTATCTTTCTTGAACACTGCTGATTTTTGATCAAAACATAGCTCCAACTATGGGAAACTGCCCTTGGGTTTTCCCTTGTCCTTTGCCATTGTCTCTCTGTGCAACCTCACTCATGCTTAGGGCTTTAACTGCCAACTCTATTCTGAGGACTTCTAAATCTTTAATTACAGTTCAGTCTCTTTCCTGAGTTCCAACCCACTTATATCCAGTTACTCATGAGGTAGGTGTCTCCTCCTGGGTGTTCCTAAGGGACCTCAGACTCAATATATCCCAAACTGAGCTCATACCATTTTGTCCCAAACAAGCATCACCTCTTCTACTTTCCATCTACCCAGACAGCTGTGGCAGAAACCTGCAGTTCACAGAATTCTCCCACTCCCTCTCTCTCTCTTCCTGTTATCCTATTGGTGGCCAAGTCCTGTAGAGGGGAGATTCTCGGAGTAAGGTCTCTAGATCACCAGCGGCAACAGCATCTGGAAAGTAGTTAGAAATAAAGATGCTTAGGGGCTTCCCTGATGGCGCAGTGGTTGAGAGTCCGCCTGCCAATGCAGGCGACACGGGTTCGTGCCCTGGTCCGGGAAGATCCCACAAGCCGCGGAGTGGCTGAGCCCATAAGCCATGGCCGCTGAGCCTGCGCGTCCAGAGCCTGCGCGTCCAGAGCCTGTGCTCCGCGGTGGGAGGGGCCATGGCAGTGAGAGGCCCGCGTACCGCAAAAAAAAAAATAATAATAAAAATAAATAAATAAATGAAGATGCTTGGACTCCATCCTCATTCAGAACCAGCATCTTTGGGGCTGGGACGCAGCAATCTGTGGTGTAACCAGCCCTCCAGGTGATTCTGATGACGCTCTAAATTGGCCTTCCTTATTATCTCTCTAATTTCTCCATTCCTAAAGCTCCTAAGTCAGGCCCTCCTCTTCTCACAGCTGAACTATTGCAATCATTTCCTAACCGTGTACCTTTCTCCAGCCTTAGATCTCTCCACGCTTCCTCTCCTTTCCTGCCAGAATGTTCCCTCCAAATGCAAATCTGATCATGTCTCTACCCTACGTAAAATTCTTCAATGTTCCCCCAGTGCCTAAGTGGCACCGTCCCCAAGGAAATATAATGCAGGCTCATATGTAATCGTCTTATGTGGCTACTAGAAATTTTTTTAATTAAAAAAAAAAGAAATTCCTTTCTTTCCTTTTTTCTTTTATTTTTTTGGCCATGCTGCATGAGGGATCTTAGTTCCCCGACAAGAGATCGAACCCGTGCTCCCTGCAGTGGAAGCATGGAGTCTTAACCACTGCACTGGACCGCCAGGGAAGTCTCCAAAAGAAATTAATTTAAATAATATATTATTAAATCAAATATATCAAAAATATTATTTCATCATCTAAACAATACGTGGGTCATTAATGAGATACTTTACATTCTTTTTTTCATGCCAAATCATTGAAATCTGGTATATATTTTTATGCTTACAGGTGTATCTCAATTCAGATGTTAAATTTTCATTGAAAATACTCAGTTTATATTTAGATTTCATAAAATTTACAGGTGAGTTGAAAGAGTAGTTGTACTTATCCAAGTTGTTCCAAACATACTTAAGCATTTTTCAGTAGTTGAATTAACACCTTTAAAATTTAAATGAATTAAAATTAAAAATTAACTTCTCAGTCACGCTACGACATTTCAAATGCTCTATAGTCACGTGTGGTTGTGCTACCGTGTCGGTCAGCATGGCTTAAAGGACAAAATCCTAACCCTCAGCCCTCCCTCCAGGACGTGGCTTCTTCCCCTGGTCTCCAGTCTCGTCCCCGTCGCATCCCTGCTGCACAGTGATTCATTACAGGGAAGCACATTTCCTGAGATATTTCTTGTCATTTCCTGCCTCAGGACCTTCCCCCACGAAACCTCCTCTCCCTCCACTGCCCTGTCCCTCATCTCCTTCTTCACGTGGCAAAACCCACTTATTTTTTAGAGTCAGCCCAAGAGGTGCCTCCTCTATTAAGCCTCCTACCTCTCCTCCCCAGGAATGACCAATCATTGAATTTTATTTGAATATAAAATTTTATTTGAATATAAAATTTATTTGAATTTTATTTATTTGTTCACATGTCTCTTTTTTTGAGATTAAAAAAAAATTATTTTATATTGGAGTAGAGTTGAGTAACAATGTTGTGTTAGTTTCAGGTGCACAGCAAAGTGATTCAGCTATATATATACATGTGTATGTGTCCCTTGTTACTAGGGAGTGAACTCCTAAAATCTTGTTATTCATCTTTTTTATCCCTAGCACCTAGAACACCATCACTAATAGCCATTAATAAATGTTGTTGAATGAACACGTGATTAATACCCAAATCTGCACCCTTTTGTTATCACACACTCCCCTCCATGGGCCTGAAGGGCAGCAGTTCACTGTCACTGAAGAAGTAGTGCTCTTGTGATTGTCACATCATGTCAATTTCCCCGAAGCTGAAGGAAAGAGATAGGCTTTTCACTTTTTTTTTTTTAACATCTTTACTGGAGTATAATTGCTTTACAATGTTGTGTTATTTTCTGCTGTATAACAAAGTGAATCAGCTATACGTATACATATATCCCCATATCTCCTCCCTCTTGCATCTCCCTCCCACGCCTCTAGGTGGTCACAAAGCACCAAGCTGATCTCCCTGTGCTATACAGCTGCTTCCCACTAGCTGTCTATTTTACATTTGGTAGTGTATATATGTCCATGCCACTCTCTCACTTCATCCCAGCTTACCCTTCCCCCAGCCTGTGTCCTCAAGTCCATTCTCTACACCTGGCCTTTATCCTGTCCTGCCCCTAGGTTCTTCAGAACGTTTTTTTTTAGATTCCATATATATGTGTTAGCATACGGTATTTGTTTTTCTCTTTCTGACTTACTTCACTCTGTATGACAGACTCTAGGTTCATCCACCTCACTACAAATAACTCAATTTCATTTCTTTTTATGGCTGAGTAATATTCCATTGTATATATGTGCCACATCTTCTTTATCCATTCATCTGTTGATGGACACTTAGGTTGTTTCCATCTCCGGGCTATTGTAAATAGAGCTGCAATGAACATTGTGGTGCATGACTCTTTTTGAATTATGGTTTCTTCATGGTATATGCCCAGTAGTGGGGTTGCTGGGTCGTATGGTAGTTCTACTTTTAGTTTTTTAAGGAACCTCCATGCTGTTCTCTGTAGTGACTGTACCAATTTACATTCCCACCAACAGTGCAAGAGGGTTCCCTTTTCTCCACCCCCTCTCTAGCATTTATTGTTTGTACATTTTTTGATGATGGCCATTCTGGCTGGTGTGAGGTGATATCTCATTGTAGTTTTGATTTCCATTTCTCTAATAATTAGTGATGTTGAGCATCCTTTCTTGTGTTTGTTGGCAGTCTGTATATCTTCTTTGGAGAAATGTCTATTTAGGTCTTCTGCCCATTTTTGGATTGGGTTGTTTGTGTTTTTGATATTGAGCTGCATGAGCTGCTTGTATATTTTGGAGATTAATCCTTTGTCAGTTTCCTCGTTTGCCAATATTTTCTCCCATTCTGAGGGTTGTCTCTTTGTCTTGTTTATGGTTTCCTTTGCTGTGCAAAACCTTTTAAGTTTCATTAGGTCCCATTTGTTTATTTTTGTTTTTATTTCCATTTCTCTAGGAGGTGGGTCAAAAAGTATCTTGCTGTGATTTATGTCATAGAGTGTTCTGCCTATGTTTTCCTCTAAGAGTTTTATAGTGTCTGGCCTTACATTTAGCTCTTAAAAATATGGAACACTTCACGAATTCGGGTGTCAGCCTTGCGCAGGGGCCATGCTAATCTTCTCTGTATTGTTCCAATTTTAGTATATGTGCTGTCAAAGCAAGCACTGGGCTTTTCACTTTGCCATTTGTTCTTACTGCAAGGTGATGAGGCACTCCTATGAGTGCACCCTTCACAAAGGATTTAGAAACAGGAGACTGTGAGCTCTGATGATTGTTATCTTTCTCTGGTTTGCCCAGACCAAATCCCTTAACCTCTCTGAACCTCGGTGTCCTTTTCCGTAAAATGGGGATGTGATAACCTAATGAACTAAAGGTTGTAAAATGCTTGGTAGACTACGCTGAGTAAAGCACACCTATGGTTCTATTGTCATTTAACCTCAGAAGGTCACCAAGACAGACAAGATGAGAGGAAACACCTCCTTTATGTGGGAGTCTACAGAGCCTGGGGAGGCAGGTGAGGAGTGAAGTGTGTGTATGAAGCGTGGATGAAGACATGGGCTGCCTCGTCCTGTTTCTTCATCACATTATGTTCCTAGAGGGAGAAGATGCCACTTTGCACTCTCATTGGTGTTGGGTGTTACCCAGCTGCTACATCTGGCCTTTCCCCCTCCAAACCTTCTTTTACCGTCTTGAGATCTTTCTGTACACAGGCCACTACATAAAAGGTCTCTGGAGTTCAAGGTGGGACTAAAAAGCAAGAACAACATTGTCAAATTATTGGGTGTTAAGATCACCGTCGTAATCCAGGTGTAAGCTGGTGATTTAGCTCAGGATACTTGCTGAGCTGGGTAGCCCCTGCCCATCTCCATCTCCCAAGGGGAAGAACGTTAGAAGGTTGGAAGGAAAACAAGAAAGCAGATGGTGGGTGTGCCTGAGAAGGGACCAACACCCCCACAGAGTCAGCTTCAAGGGGAGTGAGATGAATGTCCCCAGGTGATTGTGAATATCCAGGAGTAGGGGAGCCCTGCCCTGGGCCTGGGGCCCAGCATGCAGGTGTTCCTTACACCCCTGTGGCCTGAGAGCAGTAGGTAGAGATTATTACGCCAGAGGCTGAGAGTAGAGAGAGTCCAAAGCAGCCACTCACAGTCTCCTAGGCTCCACAGGAGCGTGGGAGAATTCTGAATTTCCCTGTGTGTCCAAGAAGGATTATGAGAGACAGCCACCTGGTAGACCCTGATGGTGTCTGCGTCACAATGAAGCAGATGGTCAGGAAACCACACCTGAGGATCAGGTGGAGGCCAGCACAATAGTGACAAGTGCCACCCGGGCATCTGATGCCCCCCCAACCTCTAATGCCCACTCAGCATTTGATGCTTAGAGCTCAGACACAGTCCTAGGAAGTGCTAGGAAGGAAAAGTAGAAAACACGGGATTGACTGGGACAGCCTGGAACTGGCTTGACTAAGAATTCAGTCAGAAGTGAGTGAGGCGGGGGACGGAGACTTTTATAGAGATGAAGTCAAGTTACAGAAAATGACAAAGTAGGGATGTGTTTCTGGCATCCATGAGATATATCACATCCTCTGTGGCCAGTTGTTTGTGTGCCTGGATCCCTGCTAGACTGTAAACTCCTTCATGGTATGTTTTGTGTCTCGTGCATCCCTGCTCTCCCCAAGCCCAGGGTCTGCACATCATAGGTCCAACTGATAAGTTTGCTCTGAAATGAGACGAGGTGGAGGTATGTTTGCCTGGCACACCTGGGCTGTGTCGTGTCTTTTCCATTTGCTCACCTGTTGTCACAGATCAGGAAGTGTGTGTGCATTCTTTCATTTGCTCACTCATTCATTCACTCAGAAAATATCTATTGAGTTCTTGAACTGTGAAGCTTTACAGAGTGAGTTAGGAGGGGAAAGGAGATTTAAAATGTATTTGCATGGTTTGTTTTTAATTTTCTAGAGTCCTTTCCTACCTACTGTCTCACTTTTGCTTCACAGCCATAGTAGAGGTAAAGGGGAGAGGAGTGTGTTAACTTCACTGTACAGGTGAAGAAAAAAGAGAGAAAAGTTGAGGTTTGACCAAAACAACACAGAAACTTGTGGTAGAGATGGAGTGGGGGTGGGGTGGGGGGAACATCTGTCCTCCCTTTGCTTCATTGTTCTTAGGTAAAAAGACATCAGAATGTATATTCGGCCAATGGAAAGAGTTCCGAATGGCCAAAGCCAGAACAATCCGAACAATTAAAATAAAGTAGTATTGGATTATATCCATGACTCTATAGTGATAGAAATAAAGGATTGAATAAATAAATGGGAAGAATAGCTAACTTTCCCTGCAGAATTCCAGATAATTGATGTAGATATTCTGTCCTCAAGGGCGGGGAGCAAACTCCCTGCTCCTTAGTGTGGCTGTACGTGGTGACTTCCTTCCCAAGAGCACAGTGTGGAAAGATAGGAAAAAGGGTAACTTGACAGTGGAGAAAGCTGACAGGCACTGCCTCAGCCAGGTGACCCAGGCCAGCATCAGCAGTGGTAGGTTGTGTGGATAGTAGGCACCCCTGGTATGACGTGATGAGAACAGCACTTCAACTCCGTGGATCTCCCTCTCAAAACCCATAACCCCTGGGCTTCCCTGGTGGCGCAGTGGCTGAGAGTCCGCCTGCCGATGCAGGGGACGCGGGTTCGTGCCCCGGTCCGGGAAGATCCCACGTGCCGCAGAGCGGCTGGGCCCGTGAGCCATGGCCGCTGAGCCTGCGCGTCCGGAGCCTGTGCTCCGCAACGGGAGAGGCCACAACGGTGAGAGGCCCGCATACCGCAAAAAATTAAAAAATTAAAAAAATTAAAAGTTTATGGGAAATGAAATGAATTTTTTGTTGTTGTTAAAAATAAATGACTTTAATCCCAATCTCCCAATTCATCACACCACCACCACCCTCGCCACTTTCCCCCCTTGGTGTCCATACGTTTGCTCTCTACATCTGTGTCTCTATTGTTGCCCTGCAAACCGGTTCATCTGTACCATTTTTCTAGGTTCCACGTATATGCGTTAATATACGATATTTGTTTTTCTCTTTCTGACTTACTTCACTCTGTATGACAGTCTCTAGATCCATCCACGTCTCTACAGAAAAAAAAGAAAAAAAAAAAAAGGAACGAAATTGGGTCATTTGTAGAAATGAATTTTTTGAAAAGATTAATTGGGACTTCCCTGGCAGTCCAGTGGTTAAGACCCCATGCTTCCACCGCGGGGGGCATGGGTTCGATCCACATGTTGCACGGTATGGCCAAAAAAAAAAAAAAGAGATGAATTGCACAATGAAAAAAAGTGCTGTAAACTTATTGCTGGCATTATTAGGGTGGTGGTGGGAGGCAGCTGCTATATAAGCCTTTATCCTACTTTCCCATGAGTCAGGAGGGATTCAGTCAGCTTTGGTTGAAGTAACACAGAAAAGAGCTCTTGTGTTCCTATCACAAACATGTGGTCCCTTCCATGCCTGGCTGATTCTGGATAAACACATTTTCCACACCATCATCTCCAGAATCTTTGCTCTCCGAGGTCAATAAGGCTATGAACATCTCTTTGGTTGTTCCTGGAGCTTGAATATATACTTCATGAACCAGCTTATTTTCAGAATCCAGAAAAGAGTGGGAAACTGGGAGTCAGAGTACCTTTGAGTATCACCTGATTGCCATGCTCCTTGACTTGACCTTTCTCATTCCTTACTTCTTTATCCATAAACTGACGATAATGATGGCCCCTGGGGTAGTACAAGGTGAAAGGGTAGAAGATATATGAAAGCTTTCTGTGACCTAGAAAGGGCTGCAACGTTTTATTTTGGAACGTCTTTGGCTTTGGGAGACTAGGGCTTCCTGTGTGTCATCCCTTTTTAAGCAGCGCTCCGGCTTATTCACTCCATTCATCTCCACAGACATTTGTCAAGTATCATTACTATGTCAGGCACATGAAGAAGTGCCTTACCTGGGTAATGGCATCCCTGGAAAAGTAAGAAGTGGAGAAACTCAGGTTTGTCAGAACCTTCATGGCTTTGAAGAGCTGCACATGGCTGGATGGATAAGCTGCTTGTATGGGGATTATAACCCACAAGAGGCATTCATTAGTCATGATGACTTTGGCTGTTGGGCATTGAAAACCCAAATCAAAATGTCCTGGACAAGCTGTTGGCTCACCTAACTAGGATGTCCAGAGTTAGGTGGGCTTCAGGGTTCAATGATACATTGGCTTAACCACAGCACCAAGGATACAATTTTTCCTTTTCCTGTTATCTATAGTGATGGTGTTATCCTATAACTAGCTCCTTTTAGGGTATGGGATGGCTGCCAGAAGCTAGTGGAGCTCTTAGCTTCCTTGTCCATGATGAGGCAGGGTGGGGAGGGCACTTACAAAACTAAAGCCACAACTCATGACCTTGGCCATCCTATATTAATTAGGTGCCCCTACCTCCAGTCTCTTGCTCCAGTCTCTCTGCATTATCTTACACAATTTGAACTATTATTTATTTTTTATTTTGCTTATTATTTATTTGTATGTTTACTCATTTATAGTCAGCTCCCTTTCTGGAATATGAGCTTCATGAGGTCATGGATTTCATCTTGTTCACCATTGGTCCCTAAACCACCTTCTAAGCAGATTGGGGTCCGTCCTCAACACACAGGAGAGAGGCTGAGTGTGCAAAAGGGATCTTCTTTCCCTGCCATCCTTTCTAAGCCCACGATGCTTGCTGCCTGGGTCGTGACTACTGGAAGGAGGTACTGCCAATCAGAATATTACTGGAATATGAGGATCACAGGTGCCACTTGGAAGAGATCTTTCTAATTTTTTCTTTTTTCTTTTTGGCCGTGCCACGCAGCATGTGGGATCTTAGTTCCCTGACCAGGGATCAAACCCATGCCCCCTGTAGTGGAAGCACGGAGTCTTAACTACTGGACCACCAGGGAAGTCCCAGAAGAGGTTTTTCTAAACAAAGGCAATCTGAGTTGGTCTAGTCTGGGTGGAAAAACAGAACTGCGGACAAGAGAAACCTAGGTAAAGTTGGGAAGACAAGACTGATGGACAAATTATCCTTGAAGTGAGAAGGAAAAGTAGTCGTGGGCAGCAAGGCTGGTAGTCAAATGGGTGAAAAGCAAAATGGCACGAGATGACCAGTTCAGG